CCCGCCCCCGCCGCCTGGGCCCCGCCGCTCCCGCGCAACCCCCGCTCACCAGAGCGCTGGGCGGCCCCTCCGGACCGCGTTCGCCGCTCCGACATGTCTACAGTCGGGCTGGGTCTGCGCCGCCGCCGCTGCCAACTCGGGCTAGTGCCAACCGAGAACACGGTCCGCAGCCACAAACGTTCAAATTACCCGCCTGGCTGGGCAGGAAGCGGAAGTGACGCAAGGCGGGAGGGCCGCTCCACTCAGAATACCCCCCCTTCCGGCCTCCGGAGGAAAGCAGAGGCGAGGCCCGGGGGTGCCGTGGCGTCATCATCGTGCGCCGTACCCGGAAGAGACGTGGCAGCGGAGGGATAATCGGAGCGTCCGGAGCCGGGAGGGAGGGGAGCTGGAGCTGCGGGAGCCGCTGCGTGAGGTCCCCGGCCTTCCGCTCCTCCAACCAGCGGTCAGGACCGGTGCCGCGGAGCCTCTGTGAGCTCGAGAGTCGGGGCGGGGGTCTGCCGGCTGGGGCCGGACCAGGAGGGGTGGGTCCTGGGGGCGGGGCCGGTAGTACTCCGGGGTTGTTGCTGGAGAGGCCTGGGATCCAGATGGAGTGAGGGGTTCTCCGCAAGCAGGGTTTATGCTGGGGGCGTGGTTCTTCCCCGAGCAGGGCCGGCGGGCTGGAATTTGGCATCTGGAAGAATGTAGGATGGGTCTGGGGGAGTTTAGAAGTAGAGACCAGTTAGGTTGGTGGGCACCGGAACCTGGCTTCCTCCTAACTCCGACTTCTTCCTCAGGAGAGGTCATGGGACTTTGTAAGTGCCCCAAGAGGAAGGTGACGAACCTGTTCTGCTTCGAACATCGAGTTAACGTCTGCGAGCACTGCCTGGTAGCCAATCATGCCAAGGTGGGGCATTGGGGCAGTGGCTGAGCAGGGCTCTCTGGGTGGGCAGGCAGTATTTGGTTTCTTCCAAAATCCACGAGGGGCCGGCCACTGGAATATAAGCTCCACAAGGGCGAGGTCTTGGTTTATGTTGCTCTACGCTAGGCCCTCAGACCCTAAGCATTTGGCACACAGTAGGTGACTGAACAGATGAAAGAATGAGTCTCTGATGAGAAAGAGAAGGCTGTTGGACTTTGGAGTGGTGTATCCATCGTGGCGCCTGGACACCAGTTGTGACATCTCTCTCCCACTCCAGTGCATCGTCCAGTCCTACTTGCAGTGGCTCCAGGACAGTGACTACAACCCCAATTGCCGCCTATGCAGCACACCCCTGGCCAGCCGAGAGACCACCCGTCTTGTCTGTTATGGTAAGGCCTGGCCCCACAGGGCCCAGCTTGGTGACTGGTTTCTCTTCCCCATTTAAATAGTCTCCCAAGCCTGAAGGCCAGATTCTCCTTCTGTTGGATAGTTCCCTGCTATGGAATCCTAGGCAAGCTTTTTCCCTTTCTGGACCTTAATGTCTTAAACATTAAAGCTCCTGCTTCCTGCTCTTCTAGTCTTGGAGAGTTGAGAAAGAACCAGTCAGGCTTGTGGAGATGGTTGTGAGTTGTAGCTGTGTGCAGGATCCATTACTGACCCCCCCACTGAACAGAGAGGACGCTTCCCACGTGACACTTAGCTAGAGGGCGTCAGCAATCATATGTACTCTCTAACAGCAGAGTCAGAAGCTTCAGTTTTAGAAGGAACTGGTCCAAAAGAGGCAGCTTCACATACGTGTTTTTCTATGTGAGAGTGTGTGTACACTCACACTGATGCACATTGTGTCTTTACATCAGTGTTGACTAGTATTTGTGAATGAGTGAATGGGCAATTGGATGTATGACAACACATGTTCAGTGAAATAAATGACACATGGGTGACCATGCTTGAGTGTGGGTGGATGCGAATCTGCTGATTTGCCATATCTCAGAGTGTGTGAAAGCTGACGTAGCTGGAAGGAGTGACACTTGTGGTTGTGTGTTGACCAGCACTTGCATATTTGTACTATGAATATGTACATAAATATGTATGTCTAGGAACCTTTCCTGGTATGTGTGTGTGTGGTGTTTTGTTATTGTCATTTTTTTGAGACAGGGTCTCTCAGGCTGGCCTTGATCTCACAGAGATCCTCCTGCCTCTGGAGTGCTGGGACTAAAGGCGTACATTACCATGCCCTGGTATATGTGGTTTTTTGAGACAGGGTTCCATGAGACTGACCTTGAACTCTTGATCCTCTGCCTCCTCTTCTAGGCACTGAGAATACAGGCAGGCACCACTACACTGAGCCTGAAACTATTCTTGATTAGCCATTAGCCCAAGAGATATAAAGAGGGAAAGCCCCGAGGGAACTCTTAAGGCTAGATGGCATTTTCATCCCCCTTAAGAGCTGGGCAACTTGGTAGAATCTACCCTGACTTGGTCAGATGCTGTTAGCAGGAAGGCTGAATGAAGCCTCAGGAACCTGGGGGGCTGGGGATGAGAGACCTTGGGCAGCCATATCTATATGCATTCATCATTACAAATGGGCTGGGTGCCATTGATCGGCTAAGACCCCAAAGAATCATTCTCCTCATGTCTCTCCTTACTTCACGGATCTTAAGATCTCTTCCATTGGGCCTGCATCAACGAACGTGCCGCCCAGCTACCCCGAAACACAGCACCTGCTGGCTACCAGTGCCCCAGCTGCAATGGCCCCATCTTCCCCCCAGCCAACCTGGCTGGCCCTGTGGCCTCTGCACTGAGAGAGAAGCTTGCCACAGTCAATTGGGCCCGGGCAGGATTGGGCCTCCCTCTGGTGAGTCCCCCTGTCTATCTGACAATGTTTGCCCTGACCCTCACCTGAGCCAGGTGGGTGGGTATGGGCAGCACTGGGTAGCCTGTTGATTTAGATTCCTTCCTCTAGATTGATGAGGTGATAAACCCAGAGCCTGAACCCCATAGTTCCTCAGACTTCTCTGACTGGTCCAGCTTTAATGGTAAGTGGTGCCTCCATCTGCTGTCTGGGGCCTTGCCTCCCTGCTCCACTGACAGCTCTCTCTGTCCACAGCCACCGTTCCCCCTGCACAGGAGGAGATGGCCAGCACTTCTATAGCTCCAGCCTTCTACAGCCAGGCCCCCCGGCCCCCTCCTTCCCCCAGTCATCCCGAGCAGCACACAGTTATCCACATGGGCAGTACTGAGCCCCTGACTCATGGTGAGCTGAGGAACTGTCCCAACCAGAGCAAAATAGAAAAGGGTGGGTGGTTTGTGTGGAGGGGGCCCTGGAGCCCCTTGTGCAGTGGCTCTTCCTCACTCAAGCATAGACATTGCCTCCCCACAGTTCCAAGATACTCTGTCAGATTGGGGAGGGCACCCTTTCTACCCCACAGCCCCCACCACAGGATCACTTTCTCTGAGTCTGTTGATGCTGGTGTCTACCCCTGCAGCCCCAAGGAAGGTGTATGACACACGAGATGATGACCGGACAGCAGGCCTCCATGGAGACTGTGACGATGACAAATACCGCCGCCGGCCTGCCCTGGGCTGGCTGGCCCAGCTGCTCAGGTACACGGGGACAGGCAAGGTGGGGTGCCAGGAAGGGGAAGAGAGGCAGTGAGAGCCAGAGGCCCCATGCTGGACAATTTGATGACAATGTGGCTGCTTCTGAGCACTAATAGCACCTGGTGCTGGGGCCGCAGTGAGGCCCTGGCTAGCCAGGACAGCATCAGGGTGTCCCTCCCTGAGACAATGTCCTTTCCTCCTATGGGAGGTTTGGACTTGGGCTCTGAGGCTCTCATGCTGTGATGCCTCCTGATCTTTATAACTCTCCTCATTTAAGTTTCCAGAATAATTTTGTGCCCTGCTGTTTGAGCTACACAATAACCCCATATGATGGCAGGCAGGGCTGTTCATCCCCATGACACAGATGAAGAAATTGAGGCCTAAAGATGGTGACTAGGACTCCTCTCTGTGCCAGGGCAGGGCACTGGGCCTGACCCAACTTTTCCCTCCTTTCCCTCAGGAGCCGGGCTGGGCCCCGGAAGCGGCCACTAACTCTACTCCAGCGGGCAGGGCTGCTGCTCTTGCTGGGGCTGCTGGGCTTCCTGGCCCTCCTTGCCCTCATGTCTTGCCTTGGCCGAGCTGCAGCCGACAGTGATCCCAATCTGGACCCACTCATGAACCCTCATATCCGCGTGGGTCCTTCCTGAGCACCTGCTTGTGGCTGGGCCAGCCCAGGACCTGGGGTCTGGAGAGAGATGGTGGAGAGGCCTGAGGGCCTTTCTCTGCTTTTCTCCCTCAATCCTGAGACACTAAGATCCCCCACCCAAAGCCACGTCCACTGGAGGAGGCTGCAGACTGGGCCTGGAGCCCTGTATGTCAAGGATTTGTCTTCACCTGCTTCCCCTGGGTCTCCAGTCTCCCACTCACCCCTCAGAGGAACAGACAGGTGCAAATAAACAACAGACTTTATTAAAACATCCGAAGCAGCCTTTTCCTTCTCCCTTCTCAGTCCTGTTCCCAACTCCCAGCGTGGTTCTCCTCTCTGTACTGGATGGACAGAAACTCCATGGAGAGGCGGTTGAAGAACATGGCTCCATTGAGCACTGGGTGGAAGAGAGCGCCCCATCAGCTCAACATCCCTGTGCCCTCCTTGCCACTTCTCAGGGTTCCAGAGCTACCCCTCCCCCTTTATAGCACACCTCCCCACTCACTCAGGATGGTCAGGGCAAAGCACCGAAAAAACTTGTCATCTGTCATCTCTGCATAGAGTGACCCCATGGCAGCCCAGCAGATACTGATCACCTGGGAGAACTGTAGACCCATCCAGTTGGAGACTGGCCCCCTGACACAGCAGACACAGCCCCATGGCCTTCCCCGGCTAGCCCTTGAGCCCCTGCCCCAGACCTACCATCAGTACGACCGTGTACTGGAAACTCATGCGGTCATAGTGGTGGGTGACACAGAAGTTGTGCACGTCACTAGCAAAGACACCCATGTGTATGAAGAAGAGCATCAGCGCGGCCACAGTGAGCATCATGCCAGGGGGGAAAAAAAGCACAGCCATGCGGTCCCGCCACCGCATTGTGGCAGCAGCAAGCAGTCACTGTCCAGAAGAAGCAGCAAAACCCTGTCACTCTGGGTGTTCTGTCCGGAACCACAGTGGATTCCAGAGTGAGGGCAAGACTCTAGAACACAGCCTGATTCCCACAAGTAGAAGAATGGGTAACTGGGGGTGCTCCATTGTGGAAGGGTGGGCAAAATGTGCAGAACTGTGGGGGCCCGTGGTATTGGGAAGGGACAGCAGCCCATATCAATCCATCCTCTCTACTTCCTGGGCATCTCAGTATCCCACAGGGGACATTATACAGGTATCAGACTAGGGCTCAGAAATGTGGACAGACATGTTGTGGGTCCACAGCAAGTTTTAGACAGCTGAGAGGTTAGGACCTAGGTGAGAAGCTGGAAGGCTTTCCCAGGTAGGGGAAACTTAGGCTGGATCCCAGGCTCTAACTGAAGCACTTGAGTTTGGTGGTGCTTGTCACCACAGGCATCAGTGAGCAGAGGAAGGAACTGAATCAAGACCCCCTTTATCCAGACAGCAATCTGGAAAGACTGAACTAACGGCACCAAATCTGCCTGTCCCCTACCAGCTCCAGCTAGCATATGTCAGAGGGAGTCAGAACTAGAATGGAGGTAGTTCATCCCAAAGCATGGTCATCCCTCTCTTCAGGTGTCAGCTTGTCTCAGATCCCTGGTGTGGATACTTCCTATATGTCTCCTGTACCCACCCCCATTATCTCTGTGTGGGTTTGCATGCTCCCAAGGCCAGTCTACTTTTTATAACATGAAGTACAAATGTGTTCTTACAGATTTTGTTACATTTATGTGTGTGTGTGTGTGTGTGTGTGTGTGTGTGTGTATGCACATGCCACAATGTGGAGGTCAGAGGACAACTTCCAGGAATTGGTTCCTTCCACTGTGTGGATCAAACTGAGGTTGTCACCCTTGGTGGCTGTCACCTTTGCCCGCTGAGCAGGCTCACCAGCTCAACTGTGCTTTTATAATGTAGACTATAAAGTGCCCCATCCTTCCCTTCTGGCCCCTGTCTGTCCCAAAAATTTGCTTCAGGCTCTACTAAGGGAAGGCTGCAGAGGTTTGAAGAAGGTAGAAGCCTCGGGATCTTGCCTGCTTCCCCATTACCTCTATAAAGTTAGTGCTGGCCCAAGACCTGAAGTCTTCAGCCTTTAAGCAGCAGAGTTAGAATCATCAGTATGCTTGCTGCCCTACTCTGTCACCAACTGTGACGGTTCCTTGGATTCCCATCCTAACCTCATTTCTGTGATTTGTTGCTTGGTTTGTGGTACGGGGGACTGAACCCAGGGCCTTGAGCATGTTAGGCAAGCACTCTACCACTAAGCTACATTGTTAGTCCACTGTGGTTTGAAATATATAGCCCCTAAAGTCATGCAGTAGTTTAATCCCCAAAGTCTTTTTTTTTTTTTTTCTTTTCTTTCAAGACAGGGTCTCACTATACAGCCCTGGCTGACCTGGAGCTTGCTATGTAGACCAGGCTGGCCTTGGACTCACAGAAATCCCCCAGCCTCTGCCTCCTGATTGCTGGGATTAAAGGTGTGAGCCACCATGCCTAGCTCCAAAGTCTTTTTTAAAAAGATTTTCTTAAATTTACATGTATGTGTGTATCTGTGTGCATACTGACAGAAACCAGAAGAGAGTGTCAGATCCCCTGGAGCTGGAGTGACAGGTGGTTGTGAGCCACCTGATTGTGGGTGCTGGGAACTGAACTCAGGTCCTCTGCAAGAGCAGTAAGGGCTCTTAACTGCTGAGCCATTGGCCCAGCCCCTAATCCCCAAAGTCTTATGTTAATTGTATTGAAAGAGTGGAAACATAAAAGGACTGTGGTGTTTACAGGTCAGACCTTTGGGAAATGACCAAATTAGGTCATTGGGATAGACCTTATTCGATCATTTAATCCTGGTGAATTTCAAGGGCAGAGACAACAACAAAACAAAGACATAGACACACATTTGATGTGCTGCCGTCAAAGGGCGGCCCTTGCCAGAACCTGTGCCATGCTGTCTGGGGTTCCAGAATCCAAACGAAACCGGTTTATAAAGTAGCTTGTTCAGGTGTTTCATTCCAGTAATAAAAGACCCAATATATTAAGGGGATCAATATCCAGTTGCATTGTTCAAACAAGTGTTTGCACCTAGTTTTCATTTAAGTACATTTATTTTGTGTGTGTGTGTGTGTGAGAGAGAGAGAGAGAGAGAGAGAGAGAGAGAGAGAGAAAGTCATAGGTCTTTCAAAAAGACCAAAGAAAGAAAATTAAATACTATTTTTGGCTTTTTGTTACAGAGTCTCCCTGTAGCCCTAGCTGGCCTGGAACTCACTATGTAGACCAGGCTGGCCTGGAACTCACAGAGATCCACCTGCCTCTACCTCCCAAGTGCTGGGACTACAGGCGTGAGCCACCACACCTGGCTAAAAGTATTTAATTTTTGATTATGTGTATATATGTGTATGTGTTGCAGGGGGTATGTGCTCATGAGTGCAGTGCCTGAAGGAGGTCAAAAAAGGGCATCTGGTCCCTTGGAGCTGGAGTTACAGGCAGTTGTGAGCAGTCTAGCATCGAGAACCAAAATTGGGTCTCTAGAAGTCTAGAACAGTATGTGCTATATGCCTTTTTTTTTTTCTTTTTTGTCTTTTTGAGACAGGGTCTCCCTGTAGCCCCAGCTGGCTTGAAGGAGGCCTCTGCCTCCCAAGTGCTGGGATTAAAGGAGTGCAACACCACATGCTAGTATGTACTCTTAACAGCTGAGCCATCTTCCCAGCCCAAACTTCTTTTTGTGTGTGCGTGGGGGGGGGTAGATTTGGAGAGTGTCACTATGTAGCCCTAGTTGGCCTGTAACTCACTATGTGGACCAGGTTAGTCTCAAACTCCTAGAGAGCTGCCTGCCTCTGCCTCTGGAATGTTAGAATTCAAATTTTTAAAGCTAATTTTTAGCCAAGCTAAAAATTTTGGGGGGATTTATTTTTATGAGTATTTTTGCTTGTATGTATGTAAGTGCACCACTTTCATGCAACCCTTGGAGACCAGAAAAGGGTGCTAAATCCCCTGGAAGTGGAATTATAGATGATTGTGCCTGTGGATGCTGGGAACAGAACCAGAACAACCAGGGCTCTTAACTGCAGAGCCATCTCTCCAACCCAAGATTTTAAGATAAATTTATTTTACTTTTAATTTTGTGTTATGTGTATGTGGATATGTACAAATGAGGGTAGTGTCCTTGGAGATCAACAGCAACTGATCTCCCTGGAGCTGGGGTTACAGGTGGTTCTAAGCTGCCCAACAGGGGTCCTCTGCAAGAGCAGTACTTGCTCTTAACTGTTGAGCCATCTCTCTAGCCCCTAAAATTTTTTATTACATTTTTTTGTGTATGTACATGGGCACACATGTGCCACAGTACATGTGGAGGTCACAGGACAACTTGGGGGAGTCAGGTCTCTCCTACCGTGTGGGTCCCAGGGATCGAACTCCCATTATTTCTTGTTTGCAAAGTACCCTTATCCAATGAAACATCTCGCCAGCCCTGACCCCCCTGCCTTTTTTAGAGAGAGCGCAAGAGAGCCAGTGAATGAATGTGTATGTATGTGTGTGGTATATGGGTGTGTGTGCACATGTGCAGGATTGTGGAAGCATTGCACACATGTAGTGCACTTACATACATGCAGGCAAAATACTTATATGCATAAAATAAAAATAAAGCATCTAGTTTCCAATACATATGAAAACAGGCAACTGTTAGTGTTTGGTCTGCAGGACTTGGAGCAGCAGTCCGCCTTACCAGGTCATCAACGGAACGTTGTTGATAAAGTCTTCCATTTTCTTCCATTTAATTTAACTCAGCGTTTCTCAATCTAAATTCCAAATCATTCACCATCGTGGATGCCTTTATCTTTGTTCAAGGCAGAAACTTGGGGATTATCCTCAACCTCACCCAACTTCTCATTGGGTGCTTCCGCCAGCCGTTTCAGATCTCCCTGGTCTGTTTTGTAAGCGCCACAGACAGAAGTTCTGATATGGAAATGTGCAGCAGACTTCCTTGGAGACTTTTCAAAGAAGCTAAGCGTAGGAGAAGCCAGAGTTTTGTTTTGTTTTTTTTTTTGGCAACTTGTCAGTCACAGGTACTCTTGAGTTCCAATTCTCGTGCATGTCAGAGGTCTGGGACCCTGGGGAACACAGCGCTTGAGCCGCCGTGCAGGCTGCTAACTGGCAGTTGGGCCTTGCAGACTCCCTGTGAAACATATTCCCCAAGGTTAGTGCCCGTCCAATCTGGGCACTTACTCTGTGGGCCTCTTTCCTGCGAGGGTTCGAGGTTGGGGCGGGTCATAACTCGCCTCCTTCTGGGACAGCTCTAATCGGAGTCAGTTCCCGAAGCTCCGGAACCTGGAACGTCCGCACTCGGGGAGAAGAGCAAGGCAGAACCTTAGTCTTGCAGGCCGTACAGTTGCACTAGGGGGACACTTTACGTGAAGGGCTGCTTGAGTTCAACAACAACTTTATTGTTCCCGGAAGTGTTTCCTTCCCTTCCCTGCCCCAGCCGGATCACCCCTGTGGGCTGCGGTGGGAGCGATGTCGGGGGCGGCAGCTGCAGCCGCGGGGCCTAACCTGGGCCCTGGGCCTGGGGACTCCCCGGAAGGCCCGGAGGCGGAGGCTCCAGAGCGGCGGCGGAAGGCTCACGGGATGCTGAAGCTTTACTACGGTCTGTCAGAGGGGGAGACGACAGGGCACCCCGGGGGCCCTGACCCTCTGGACCCGACAGATCTCAATGGGGCACACTTCGACCCGGAAGTTTATCTGGACAAGGTTGGTGTGCAAAGGGGGTAGGGTTCAGGCCCCCAAAGTACTGGACCCTAGATGATGATGTGGTCAGGGAAGCAGGAATTCGTAGGAGAAAGACCCTTAGCCAGGCAGTGGGGGGTTAAGCTGGAGGCTAAGGAAGCCTGAGCAGACTTTAGGCCGGAGGTTGGGGGGCAGGGGGCGTGGCCCAGGCTGCGGCTGACACAGAGCTGCGTCTGGGTTGGATCTAGGCTGAAGACTTTAAAAGCTGACAAATCCTAACTTAGGTCTAACCTAGTAACGCCGGAAGCGTGCCACTTACAGGTTCCATATCTGGGATACTTGATAAGGTGGGATCAGGGATGTCTTGCACCGAAAGCCAATTAACATAAGGCAAGGCAGGGGGACATGAGTGAGCACTAACGCGGAACACTACCCTACTTCTCTAGCTGCGGAGAGAGTGTCCTCTGGCCCAGCTGATGGACAGTGAGACGGACATGGTGCGACAGATCCGGGCTCTAGACAGCGACATGCAGACCCTGGTCTATGAGAACTACAACAAGTTCATCTCAGCTACAGGTGATCCCCGTTTGGATACACTCCTCACAGTGGTACATCTCCCCTGGCGCCCCAGTGTTGAGAAAACCAGCTGAGAATTAATGGGAAGAGACCCAGATTCCAGTAATGGTTACAGTGGGAGGGGTGTTTTAAGGACCAAAGAGGAGAAAGTATAAAATGTATTTATCTGAGGCACTTAGGAAGTACCAAGGAAGTTTCTATAAACTTTAGTTTTGTGTGAGTCTCTTTGAGACAAGATCTCACTATATAGCCCCAGCTGGCCTGGAACTCACTATGTAGACCAGGCTGGCCTTGAATTTAGAAATCCACCTGCCTCTGCCTCCCGAGTGCTGAGATTAAAGGCCTGTGATGCTTCACACCCTGCAGTTTGTCTTTTTCTAAGAATTTCTTTTTGATATTTGTTAGGGTTAATTTGGTCAAGGTCTCTTTAAGGGTCCGATTCATTCTCTCTACTTGCCCTGAGCTCTGGGGGTGATATGCACAATGTAGCTTCCAATTAGTCCCCAGTGTTTTAATTAACTCTTGAGTTACCTTAGAGATGAAGGCTGGTCCATTGTCTGACCCGATCACAGAGGGGAGTCCATACCTTGGTATTAGTTCATCGATGATCTTCTTAACCACCATTGAGGCGGTTTCCCCCTTTGTGGGAAACGCTTTGACCCATCCTGAAAATGTATCTACAAAAACTAGGAGATATTTATAGCCATACCTGCCAGGTTTTACCTCAGTGAAGTCCACCTCCCAATGGACACCAGGCACAGTGCCCCTCTCCCTTCTGGCTGGGAGAATGACTTTTCCTCTTGGATTAGTAACCTGGCAGGAGCAACATCTAGAAAGACAGTTCTCAATCATTTTGGTTAGATCTAAGATGTGGTATGGAGTCAGGAGTTCTTGTAACTTTCTTTTCCCTAGGTGAGTCCCTTTGTGGAGTTTATATATTAGGTCCTCTGCCAGCTTGTGCAGTAGAATGAGCCTCCCATCAGAGGTGTATCTCCATCCATGCTTGATCTTGGTATTTTCCAGGGAAGTTAAATCCTGATCGTCCTGAGCTGAGGAGGAGGTCTCTTCTGACAAGATGGGTTCAGGCAGGATAACCAATAGGTTCAAGGCTGTTAGGGCTGCTTCTCTGGCCACTAGGTCCGCTCTCCTGTTTCCCTGTGCCTCCAATGAATCCCCTTTTTGGTGCCCCGGACAATGGATAATGGCCAGTCTCTTTGGTAACCATATGGCCTCCAGGAGTTCCAAGATCTCATGTTTATTTTTGATAGTCTTTCCTTCTGCTGTCAGGAGCCCCCTCTCCTTGTATATAGCCCCATGGACATGAGCCATAGCAAAAGCGTACCGGCTATCCCTGAAAATGTTAACAGTCTGGTCTTTACTTAGCTTTAGGGCCTGAGTCAGGGCATTTATTTCAGCCTTCTGGGCAGAGGTCCCAACTGGCAGAGAGGAGGCCCACACTGTCCGTGATGGACTGACAATTGCTGCCCCCCGCGTACCTAGTTCCTTAATGAAGCTACTTACATCTGTGAACAGAATTAAGTCCAGGTGGGGCCATGGAACATCCGTCAGGTCTTCCCGAGTCCCATGTAAGCTGCAGAGTACCTCCAGGCAGTCGTGCAGGACCTCAAGACCCGGTTCTGGCAGCAAAGTGGCAAGATTGAGAGCAGTGCTGGAGAGGAACTGGATGCTGGGGCGGGGGGTAAGGAGCAAGGCCTGATAATGCGTCAGCCGAGCATGTGTCATCCATCAATCGGGGATTTTTAAGGACACCCTCAATTGAGGGAGAGGTGGTGACCAACAGGGGCTGTCCCAGGGTGAGCTTGTCTGCAACCTTAACCAACAAGGCCGTGGCTGTGATAATTCTGAGGCAACCTGGCCAACCCGAGGCCACGGGATAAAGCTTTTTTGACAAGTAAGCCACAGGTCTCTTCCAAGGCCCGAGCATTTGGGTCAGGACTCCCTTCTCTATTCCCGCTCATTCATCAACAAAGAGCTGATGGGGCTTATGGATATCTGGCAGAGCCAAGGCCGGAGCCTGTAATAAGGCCTTTTTAATTTCTTGAAAAGCCCTGTCCTGAGACTCAGTCCATAGGAAGGACTTCATACAGGGGTTTTGCCAGCTCGGTGAATCTTGGGCTTGGATGGAGACTGGGATCTCGTCCTTTGAGGACATTCCCTAGCCCAGTGGCCCAGCTGTTTACAATATGCACGCTGGTCTCTTTTTAGGCAAGGTCAACCTTCCTGTGGGGGTCACGGGGCTCGGGTTCCCTTTTTCATAGGGGGTCGGCCTCCCCATTTGGGATTCGTTGCTCTTTCAGCCAACAATATCCTAGCCAGCCCTTTAGTTTGTCTTTCTTCAGGGGTTTCTCTATTGTTAAATACCTTGTTTGCCATCACCATCAGCGCAGAAAGGTTTTTGCCTTCAAAACCTTCCAGCTTTTGAAGTTTTCGTTTTATGTCTGGAGCTGCCTGATTCACAAAAGCCATATGATGGCCATCTGATTCTCTGGGGCCTCTGGATTAATGGGAATGTAAGTTCTGAAAGCCTCTAGGAGGCACTCCGGGTATGCCCCAGGAGACTCATCCCTTCCCTGCATCACCTGACTGACCTTAGACAAATTGGTGAGGCACTTGGCAGGTGTCCAGAGACCTCCCCATAAGAATCTGGCGATAGACCTTTAGGCGTTCCCTACCTTTGGGGGTGTTATAGTCCCACCCCTCCATTGGGCGCATGAGAGTAAAAGCAGCTTCTAGCTCCTGCCTCCAGGTTCCTGCCCTGAGTTCCTACCTTGGGCTCCCTGACGAACTGTGACCCAGGAGATGTAAGATAAATAAACCCTTTCCTCCCCAAGTTGGTAATGGTCAGAGTATTTTGTCCCAGCAATGAAGAAACAAACTAAGACAAAAATTGGTACCAGAGAGTGGGATATTGCTGTGACAGATCTGACCTTGGTGTTTTGGGGAGGACTGTGGAAGTGTTTGGAACTTTGGGCAGGAAAAGCCATTGCGTGCTCAGAATTTGTTGCAGTGGAGCTTGGAACAGTTATGCTGAAAGAGTTATAGACGATGGAGGCCTGGCTTGAGAAGCTTCAAAGGGAAGCAAAGACTATCAGGGCTGTTCATGTGAGATTTTTGGATTGAGAATCTGTGGGTTCTGGTCAGCTGGGGCTGAAGAGTCAGCTGTGATTAAGAAGAGACCAGAACCTGAAGTAAAAC